TTTTTTTGAGTTAATCCGTATATTTTAAGTTTACTACCCCATAAGCCACATGTTATATGATTCTCAACTTATAATTAACAATTAAGAATTTCTTTAACATCAGATAATCTATCAAATGGAATTCATTTGATTGTATCTTCATATTCATCAGCTCTAGATTGGAACTTTTTTATAAAATCATCAATATTCTTATTTCTACTTGTCTACCTTGTTATTTCTATATCAGGGTCACATAACAGATACCATGCTTTATTTGTGTTATATTTATTACAATAGGTATATTTTCCATATTTAGAGTCACTTTATAATCACAATATATGTAATATATAAAAGAAATTCTATTTTTATCTAGATTAAAATTACCCAAAATATTACTAAAACTAAATAATTTTAGTTATGTAAATGACATTATAGTTTATCGAGTGACTTTAACCTGGGTGAAAATAGAATTTCCCTAAAAAATATACATTCGACTCGTCAATTCATTATTTGCGCTATAAACTTATTTTATTAAAATTCTTAATATTTCTTAAAAACCTATTATAACAAACACCGTGTCAAATACAAAATTACAGATTTGTATAGCTTTTACTAACATAAAAATATTTAACTTCCATGAAGGCATTCAAAGCATGTAGATTATATCTTGTAAAGTTTACTGTTCTATTAGTTAAAGATGTAGCAGTACTTCAGTCTTGTGATATTATAAATTGTGTTTGTTCTGAAGTGGGGACCAGAACATTATATATTGTAGTTTGGACAATTAAGCTATATAAAGTTAATAAATTGAATATAAATTCAAATGCATAATAAAAAACAGAAAAATTCTATTTTCACCTAGGTTAAAATCACCCAAAATATTATAACACTAAATGATTTTAATTATGTAAATGATATTATAGTTTATCAGATAACTTTATAGAATTTTTTAAAAACTATACATTAGACTTGTTAACTCATTATTTGTGCTGTAAACTTATTAAATTCTTGATACATTTCTTTAAAAATCTACTTATAACAAACACTATGTCAAATACAAAATTACTAGTCATTATGGTTTTTACCAACACATGAAAAATATTTAACTTCTATGAAAGCATTCAAAGCACATAGATCATACCTTGTAAAGTTTATTGTGCCATTAGTTAAAGATATAGCAGTACTTCAGCCTTGCGATATTATAAATTGTGTTCATTCTAAAGTAAAGCCAGGATATCGTATATGGTAGTTTGGAGAAGTAAGACAATTAAGCTATACAAAGTTAGTTTTTTGTTTTGCATTACAGGATTTCAAAAATCCGATCAGTTGGTTAGATTCTTTTTTTTTTAATTCTGGATAATGAATGATAATTTGAAAACACCTATTAATCACAAAATTTGATGAAATTAAAAATTATTAAGTGCATTAAGATATATATATATATATGTAAACAAAAAAAACTTATCTTTATTTCATCCAATAAAGCTTCTAAAACACGTATTAGTTATTGAATAAATTTATTCAATGTTCGAGTCATATCACGTGAAGGTTCGCATTTTCATAACTCATAAAAAAAAATTGATCAAGTAAAAATCTTCGATAAAAAGGTATATAACTAATTTCTATTCTTGTCAAAGTGCAATAGCGAGATCCTTGTGAAAATTAGTAGGTAAATTATGAGATTTTATGATAATTTTTTCATTTTTTAGAATTTTCTTCGCATTTTAAATTCCACATCAAACATTATAGAATTTATTTCCTGTCCAAGCTTTCTTGATGCTGGATAATTTTAGTGTTAAAAGTTTATTTAAAACACACCCACCAACCAAACTCTACCCTAGAACTCTGTCGTCACCTGCATGAAAAAACTCGCATAGTGTTAGTGTCAATATTATTTGTACGCATTTTGAAAAGAATTATTCCTGATTTGAATTGCCGAAGTTAGATAGGGTAGAAAGTCAACTTTGTTTCCAAAATAATTGTCTGGCTTAAAATAATCTACGGGTTACCGCAGATATTTATAATAATAATATATGAATTATTTATATATTATAATCTATGAATTATTTATATTATCTGTTCAAAGTTTGGTTCACATCACCGTTTTTAAATATGTTATCCTGTTTTCATTTAAAACCGGGTTATAAATATATATTGCGATCTGATAGTGACGCGAACCAAAATTTATATATTGATTAGGTATAATATAAATAATCTATGGGTTACTTTAAATCTATAGATATTCATAAGTTTAAAGTAACCCGTAGATTATTTATATTATCTGTTCAATATTCAGTTCGCATCTCTACGATCGAACATATAGATTATTATAAGATAGATATTCACAGATTTAAAGTAACCCGTAGATTATCTATATATTGTGTGGCATCATGTCTTTTTCTTAGAGCAAAACAAAATTTCACGCAATTTTGAAAATTTTGTTTTGAAATAGTTCAAAAAAATCCTAAATTACCTAAAAAGAAAGAATGACTCCTCCTTATAGAAGAGGTAAATCAAGTGAAAATCAAAAATACCAAGTATGTAAACAACATTTTAGTGATCTAACTAGACATATCAAAAGGATGCATGGTGGACGTACCAAAAGCGTTCATGCCCAAAACTCATTAAATCAAAGAAAGCAAAATTACACTGAACCAACTATGAATGAACGAAGAAATGATAGACAAGAATGAAGAAATGAAAAATTATATAATAAAACTTTATAATTAAAAGAATTGAAGATTTTTGAGGATTCTTCGTAGAAACAATCAAGAAGCAGCTGAAGCTGGATTTATTTTTAAAGAAAAAATTAAATAGTTCAGCAATTTGAAAAAAAAAGCAAAAAAATGCGAATAAGGACAGTCTTGAATTATTTCAAACAATTTATTTAGAATTTGAAACAGTAAAATGTTGTAGTGATGAAGAAATTGAAAGGTATATTTTTTTTAATCATAAGTATTTTTAAGTAAGTTTTAATTACTTATATTGATGATATTCATTAACTAGTTTACGCAAAGAGGTCAGAAGACTTAGAAACAAACTTGAAAATGCTAAAAATACAATCAAACAACTAGAGGAAAATTCAAATAAAATTGATAAAAATAACGAGGATATCGATAGCTTGACAAGTGAAGTCTCAAGATTAAATTAGAAAATAAAGAAAAGAATAAATCAATCGAAAAATTAATAGCTGAAGTAAATTTTATAAGAAATTATTGTTTAGCATATTTTTTTGTTTAATTTACTTATTTTTACTCTAGGTTGAACAATTAACTAATGATGCCAAATTATTAAGAAAGAATTATAATTTGGTGGAAGCTGAATGTTGTCATAATGCAACATCAATAATAAAAATTTTAATACTTTTTAATATATTTTTTAAGAAATTTTCTTATATTTTTTTATTCGCATTTTTGTAGATGCATGATTTGCGATTCAAATTAGATAATGAGAATAGAAAATATACTATTCTCGTAAAAAAATATGAGCAAGAAATACATCAAAGAGACTAAAGAGAATCTGACTTTCAAGACAAATGGACCTTTTAAAAAGAAAGATCAAGAAGTTAAAATTAGATTTAGGTATCTCTACAAGGGAATACAGAGCAGCCACTAATGAGAGGTTATATCTTGCGAATTAGGCTAGTGAAATCACTAATGTAAAGCATTCGAGTCCAATTTTAATTAATGATAATGAGGATCAATA